TCTTTGAGCCAAGAAAATGGCACGCTATCGCAAACGCGGACCCATTAACCTCGCACCATGGAGACGGCTATCCTTGTGAATGTACAGTTTGGGCGCAGTTCGGTGACGGGGTGGGAGGGGTTAGGGGAGGCATTTTGCATTTTGCACTTTCACTGCTTCACTAGTTCTGGTTTACAAGTCCCACTATGAAACCTGTGAACTCTTCTGAAGAAGGAGCAAGCTCGTCAGTTACGGCAAAACCTGTCTAAAAAGGCTCTCTAGATGAGTCGCCACGTTGATGAGAAGTAGCAAAAAAGCAAGATACCCCCTCCCCCGTCGTCGAACTGTCCCCACAGTTTGTCTTACGGACCAGAAATGGCTTCCATAACCAACCGACGACTAACAGAAATGTTACCTTTTTCACTACCGAATCCATCCCAGTTGTAGACAAATCCATTCACGCCAACAAAGTCAGCATCAGTGACCTGAAAATTACAATTCGATATCTCTTCAAACGAATGAAAGCAAATCACACGAACCATTAGAGCATCCCTTTGCTTATCTTTCAGTTCCCAAACTTGCTTCCGATGAAGATCTAAGACAGAAGTTCCTAATACTAACGGTGCTAGAGATTCAATTTTTCTCTGAAAAGAGTGAATTGGATTGGAAATGAAATGACCAAAAAATTTAAAATGCGACCTACTCCTATAACAGCATCTAGAATAATTCGGAAGACCTTACGACCACCTAAGACCAAATCTTCACTGCTCATCTTAAGGCACGGTTCCGCTCCAAGAAGGAATAATTTTGTCTGAACCATTTAATTTTGAGAAGAAAACAAAAGTAAGCGAAATAACGTCAGCAATTAATAAAAATAGACAGAATAAACCAGGGCCCGTTCATGAAAGGGTGGGAGCTCCTACAAGTTTCTTAGGTGACCTTACCTTTAGCCATGAGAGGTAGGCAATAGTCTTTGTCCACACTTCCTTGCCCTTGAATTCTGTCAAAACGAGATTGTTTTCCTCTTTGAAGCACAACCCCTAGAATACCACAGCAAGATTTGATAATTGAATTTATCTTTTCAAGATCACTCACGTTTTGATATTTGCTGATTGTCTCATTGGCGTCTCTGGTCAAGGAAAATGCCTTCTGATCCGGAGGATAACGATTCTGCGTTCGTAGCGGTGCTCGATTCCTAGACAAGCAACACTGAGGAACAGAATGTTGCCGATAATAATAAAGTAAACAAGCTCTCAAAATGGAAGACGTTGACAATGCTGCAAATGGCGCAGTCCGGCAGCGTTAAGATTTGGCAGCGTTTTGGTCGTGCGTCTGCCGCTATCGATGTGCATGCTTTCGACTGCGTCAGTCGCGTCAAACGCGCGACAGAAGCGCTGCCGTCGCGAAGTATGAACGCTGTCTCAAAGCAAATGCTACATATGATGCTATTTCAGCACTTGCTTCTGGTCTTCTTGGCTTGAGCATATAAAACAGAGAAGAGCAGCTCGATTATTGGCTTACTAAGATAAATTCAGGACTTGGAATAGTCGCACTTGTTCTCGTATTCTCACAATGCATCTAGTTCCTTACATTTCTTTGGCGCACCTTATCCAATGCTCTTTGCCCGCAGTATAGATGGCCTAACAGAATGTCGTCGACTGTCGCTAATCCGCACAAACGCAGCCCCAGACTGATGGGAAGAAGCCACTGGGAGGTTCACTGACCACGAAGGCGTGCAATAAAGCAGAAAGGCATGTGGCTCACTGAGACTACCCCCCCCCCCCTTCCCCGCCAAACAATCGACGCCTAAAAGTTGAGAGAAAGATGCACTACACAAAAGGCTCAATAGACAAGAGTAAATGTATAGCGTAAAGAAGACAGAAACAGGTGAAGTTTCACTGCATGCTTATAACAGAATATTCACGTTGGCGCAGAAGTAATAGAACATCAAAGCTAATAACAATTCCATGTTTAGATAGACTGCTGCCCGTACAGTGATTGGGCAACTGAACAACTCAGAATTGACAGAGAGGTGTACACAAACAGGAAACGGGTACCACGTATAAT